ATTTCCTTGCATTCCACTTACTAGTGTTTGCATCTGGAAAAAAGTAGATTTTTTTGTTTTGTTTTTAATTTTACATGAATGGAGTCATGTATTTTTTTTTTCTTTTCTTTTCTTTTTTCTTTTTAAGAGACAATGTCTAGCGTTGTCACCCAGGCTGGAGCGCAGTGGTACAATCATAGCTTACTGTAGTCTCAAACTCCTGGGATCAGCTGGTTCTCCTGCCTCAGCCTCGTGAGTAGCTGGGACTACAGGCACTTAAGCCCAGGAGTTGGAGGCTTCAGACAGCTGTGATTACGCCACTGCACTCCCAAAAGATTTGAATATGTATTTGAGAAAATGGAAAATCCAAATGGCCAAAAAAATTAGCATACCAAATACAATAATATATAAAAAAGATTATATGTCATGAACAAGTTGGGTTTATTCCAGGACTGAAAGGTTGGCTTAACATTAGAAAATCAGTGTAATACTCTAAAGATTCAAGGAGATAAGACATAGGATTATCTGAATAGACTGAGGAAAAACATTTTATTAAATTCAGCATAGATTCATGTTTAAAAATTCTTAGCAGGTGTAAAAGAAAGGGTTTTTTGTTTTTTTTTTTTTTACTGGCAGGATCAATTAGGTAAGAAGGCTATATTTTATAAACTGATCATAAAATTAGAAATGTAAAGGAATATAAATACTCTTGAAGAACAAGGTTGGAGGACCTTACTCTAACAAGTCTATCAAGACTTCGTAAGTTACAGAAATTTAGACAGTGTGGTGTTTGTGTAGGGACAGATAGATCAGTGAACCTTATAAAGAGCCCAAAAACAGATCCAGTCATTTGATAATTGAAAGAGGTTACACTGCAATGAGTGGGGAAAAGTTTTTTAAATAAACGATTCAAGGGATATTTGCTATCCTATAATGAAATATTAATAAGACCATCTACCTCATTCTATGCACAAAAAGTAATTCCAGGCAGATTAAAGACCAAATTAGATGGCAAAACTATTAATATAAATCTTTTAGAAGTTTATACTGGAGAATATCTTCCTCACCTCTGAGTATCTTCATCAAATCTGGAAGGATTTCTAAACTACTCAAAAAAGACTAAATATAAAGGGGACAAAAGGACTGGTTAATTTGATTACATTAACATTAA